ATAGCCATTCTGACCCAAACCCCCATGATCCCCAGGCTCCAGAAGTCTCCGCTCCAAACTTACAATGACCCCTGGGGCTGTGGTCGCCTAGAGCAGGACGGGGATTGAGAAAGCCGGACAGCCGCTCAGTTCCGACTCCGCAGGAGTGTGGTGTGGCCGGAGTGCCTTGGGGAACACAGTGGAAGAACCTCCCAGAGGGTGGCACCAGAGGCCACAGAGAACTGCAGGCTGGGCCGGGCCTACGAGGGATGCCCGCCCTGCCAGTCTTCCTCTTCCTAGTTAATCCTCTGTTAAGGACTATTGGGAGGGGTGGGGGTTATTAGGCAGGTGACTTCTCTCTTCAGTTCTAAGGTTTGAGGAGAAGAGGCCTAACTGCTAACACAGACACCTCCTGGGCGTCGGTCGAGCTGGCTGAGACCACTAGATGGTACTTTGAGATCATTTTCCATGGACCAGGAGCAGGATCGCTGTGGGAAGACACAGCATATTCAGGGTCGGGAAGGCACACTGAGGTAGCCTTCTGGGACTCGGCCACATTTGGTTCTCTGCTCCTTCTGGGCATGTGTGTACCTCTCGGTGCCCTTGCAGTGAGATGTGACCACGTGCCTAGCTGTGGCTGGTGGGCTGTGAGGGAGCGCACGGGATCACTTGCAGGCTGGATCATTCATCCTTCATGTGAGACCTCCTGTGGTTCTCTTCCTCTGCTGTGCTCTTATGGAAGAGGTCTTGGGTTAAGACGATGGGCTAAAAGTTTGAAGCAGCCAGGATGCTAAATGTCACCTTGAAGGCAACTTGCCCTGGAGCATTGCCCGACTCATAGCCATTTTGTGTGAGAAACTTGGTGTGTGAGGCTGAGGAGATTCTGGTGTTTCTTTGTTCACGTGCTGTAGCAGAAACAGGATCTACCATCACTCATGCTGCCCCAGAGCCCAAAGGGCCTCGGATTCTGAGCCTTGAACCAGCACACCATATAAGCTCATAGGATTGTTGTGAGATGGCCATCATTACAACTCCAGGCCAGACTGAGTGTGACAAGTTCTCCCACCTGCCCTTGACGTCACCTCCATGCGGACCAAGTGCTGCCCCCTGAAGAGTGCTGCATAAGCTTTGCCACATTCAGATCCCACCCCGAGCATCGTTTGACTTCTGCCATATCCAAACTCTTGCTCTTGTGAGGAGTGGAAGTGATTTTCTTTCTGCCCTTCGAGTACTTGGCTGAGACCCCTGTGATAAAAGAAAGGTTAATGAAAGAAACATGGAAGCTTCTTCACATGTATACCTCATGTCGCCATGGAGACACCCAGGGAAAAAGAAGTAACTTCCTGAGGTGGCTTCGAAGTCAGGATTAAACAGGATTAAATTAAACAGGGAAGGAAGAGGGGGTAGGGAAGCCTTTTAGGGGAGAGTCAATGACTTTTAGGAAAGATGAAGAGACCTTTAGAAGAACAGATGGAAGGTATCACAGTTTGTGATGAAGTTTATCAGGGTGCACTGTTGACTTCTGGTCTCTTCTCCTGGCTGATGAACCTCCAGGGAGGGGGACCTGTGACAACTGTGTTCCTTTTGGGGTATCTGCCTTTAGGAAATAAAAGGATTTCGGTGAAAGCCTCTCCCCGTATTTGCTGTTTTCCAAGTGCCTGCAGCTCTAAGTAATCCATGTATCAGAGGCAAATTTGGGGATTGCAGGTCCTGTGGTCATATTTTGAGGTGGCATATTCTACTACCCTTTACCCCCTCATTTACAAGACTTTACGCTTCATACATCAATTAGGCTACACAGACAAGCCCTATTCTGGCTTCTGCCCTTGCGAGACTGCCATTCAGGGTGAGTCTGAGGGGCTTCTGAGAATACCATGAGCTAGTTCTCTTGGTCTGCGTCCTAGCTGTACCCTGAGCCCACCTCTATGTGCGATGTTCTGTGGCCTTCCCTCATCCTTGGATAGGTTCAATGTGGACACCCAGAGAGAGATGTTAGAAAGGGAACTTCAGACTCCATTCCAAGCTTGAAAATTCTGGAGCCCAACTCAGGTAGCTGAAAATCTAGTCTCCATGAAAATCAGTCTAGAAGATCTGGCCCTCTAGCTGGAGATGTTTTGAGTACTCATCACAGGATGCTGACACTGTAGGGCAAGTATCCCCAACATCCTCAGGGGCCCGCATGGTGATGGAAATGAGAAGCTAGCCAGTGGCATCTGCATGTCCCACGTGCTGTCCAAAGTGGGAGAGTTGCTACAGAGTTCTGGCGGATTGTTATCCAGCAGGAATAGAAGTATGTTGCCAAACCTTGACATTTTTCATTAGGAAGCAGAAAGAGAGCTCTATATGGAATTCTCCCCATTTTGAAATATTGGTAATTAAAAACAGAACAACAGACAACAGTTACAACTCCATGGCCAATAGAACATGCCTGGAGGGCAGAGTTGGTTTACAAGCTTTGCCCTGTGACAGACATTTGAATGAGAGGCACTTTAGCTCTAGGTAAGTGTTGAGATGGAGTAAGAGGTCAAGCTGACTTGACTTTGGCCTACATTTGGAAGGAAGAGTGGACCCCAAAGGACTGACAAGTCTGACTTGTTAAGTAATAATGAGGCAGAATAGCAAGGGGGTAGGGTGGGGAGGGCAACATGAACTTTAAATCCAGAGGCTTGGGTACAAACCTTGCTCCCTACGTGACAGTTGTGGAGTGAGTACGTTGTTTCACCAGAGTCTAGGTTGCCTCATCCACAGAATGGAGAATAAATCCTAACAGGGTCGTGAGAATTAAATTTATGTGTAAGAAAATATTGGCCACCTGGTCAGTACCTAGTTTGTCTACTTCCTTTCAAAGGCTCCAGAGTGAGGAAGAGATTTGACAAAAGCAGTGTTTCTGAAAGAAAGGCCAAATGGCAGAGAGACTGGCAAGGTCGCAGGCAGTGTGACCAACTTGAGAGGACGAGTAATTACTACCATGTGGCCTTGGAGCCAAGCCCATCCCTAGTGACAAGACCATAAAAGTTGACCTCCTGGCTCCTCCATGGGTATGGTGATGGCCAGGGTGTGATACGTAATGCCAACAAAAACTGGGCTGTGCCAGCTGTCCTGTCTGCTTCCCGCCCTGTCTTCGGCCTCCGTAGGGCAGCCAAGAGGGGCAGGGCCTGGCCCCCTGTCAGCGCTGATCCCGATGGGGATTTTTCAAACCCAGACCTCAGTGCCAGCTTCAGACCCACGCCAGACCCTGACCTTTGCCGGACCCCCACAGACATCCTCCTCTATCTTAAATAGCAATGAGTCTCAGCAGAGTTCTCACCAGTGTTCTGAGCTACTTACCAAACTCCTCTTCGGAAGACACTTCTTTTGAAAGCCAAGGAGGTGTAAGTCACATGCAGGCATTCCTATATCAAAATGCCCCAAAGCAGAGTCCTTGCAAGGAATTAAAAAACAAAACACACTCAATAGTCTCGCCCCTCAGGAGCTGCTGGAAGAGACAGGTTTACACACTAATCACAATTAAACTGTCATTGCCAGTCAACATCACCGGCTTCCCAAAAACGTTCCTTAAAGAGAAAATGATTTTTCAGGTGAAGGAATCACCTGGAGGGCTTGCTGGGCCCCTCCATGAGTCTTGGAATCCTGTCTGGGGTGGGGGCTGCTTTCCTAGCAAGTTCCAGGGTGATCCTGCTGCTGCAGGTTGGGGACTCTGCTCTCAGCAGCACTGCTGAAATGGGTCTCTCAGTACTTACCTTAGTTCACAGTGCCAGTGAGCAATCCCGAAGGCATGGGAACCCATTTGCCCTCGATGAGTAAACAGAAACTGAGGGTAAATGGCAGAAATAGGGTAAAGCAATGCCAGAACATCTGACGTAAGAGCCACAAACTTCACTTATAAGCCAAGAAATGTAAAGGTGGAGGTGGTTCATTTTAACGGGGAACCAGCTAAATAGGTTACAATTTATTGGATGAATAATATCCAGTGACAGATTCAACTAAGAACCCAAACTCTTGGATATAAGCTTTGATATTATTGAAGGCCTGCAGTACGAAGCGTTTGCCTGGGGCCAGCAGCATGAGCAGCCCCTGGAGCGTGAGACACACGCTCCGATCCCACCCTAGAACTTCTGGGTCGGGATATGCACCTTTCCCAGATACCTGGGTGATGCTGCTGCTGTACACTCAGGCTTGAGAAACACGCAGAGATGGTTCTGCCCTCCCAGCTAGGGACCAGCAGCAGTCATGGTCCAGGGGAGGAATGGGACCACCTGCTCACTTCTAGGGCTACCCGCCAGCTTCAGGGCGTGGGCGGCTCCGAGTTCTGCTCATCCCCCGCCCCCACCACTACTCACCTGTGGGCAGGGAACAGCAGGCAGAGGACAAAGGTTACTCTTCACAGGCTCACAGGCCTGGAGGCTACACTCAGTTGAGGCTTCAGAGTATCAAATCATTTTATTACAAAACTTAAGCTATTTAGTAATCATTCAACTTTTCTAAAAAACACAAACGCGGGAATAAAACAAACACACCCAAGACTCACTAGACCTTGCAGGATAAGCAGCAGCCCTGGACAGAGAGCCTGCAGGTGTTTTTCCTTCTACCTGTTGTCCGCACTTCCTCACACATCCTACGGTCCTCTTACAGGTAAAGGAAACCGAAGCTACAAGGTTCACGTACAAGAGGGTCATGACAACTTTAGAGCTAGTTGGTGCTAATGGCTTATACACTCTAGTTGACAAATAAGCACTAATTCCTACTCCATGCTAACCTTTACTGTCATTCTTTGAAACTGCATCTTTGGAACTGGTTATGTTCCTTCACTGTAGCTACAGCCCCTCTAGGGATCCCCGAGCACAAACCCTAAAATCCACAGTCTCCAAGTTCAAGTATAAACATTTGTTTCAGGACAACCCGGCCTGATGCAGTGTTTCTTTACATCTCTGTAGTGTATGTTGGGTGTCATCCCCCTTAGCAGGCTGACCAGATGGCAGCACAATGAGGGGACAACATGGTCAACTCCGTAATGCCCCGTTCCATCTGGACACCGCCCCACAGTCAAGGCTAAATGTTGAAATCAGTGACGACCTCAGCCTGTCTTCATCCAGAAGTTGTACTCTTAAGTAACCAAATCCATTTCTTCATGGTCAGTTCAGTGGAGCTTCCAAAGGTGTCAGACACACTCTAAAGAGAATCAGATAAAGATGCTTTTTGAAAGAGACTACATTTAATTTTACCTTCCTAAAGGAATTTACAGTTAAACTAGAAAGGCTGCTAATGTTTTATACTCCACAATGGAATTGAGTTTTTCCCCCAGTCCAGGCACAAATAAGACGACCCCCTCTTAAGGCAGTGCCCCACACGAGCTGATGCTCTTGTTTTGTTCACTTACTGACGCCTTCCCATCATAGATAAGAAACATCTTAACAAAGCTTACAGAGAGAACACCAAATGGAATGAGGGGACAGGTGACTAACAGTGGCTAGGTAAGAATCCGCTGCTTATCTGCTGGTCACTGCCCACATTTACTAATGGCTCAAAGCCTGCAAAAAGCATTGCTTTGTGGATCTGTAGCTGACTTTTAAGATTAATTAAATCCCCAAAATAATAAGAAGGGACAATGCACATAACAGAAGAATCCATGGTGACCGACATTGGTAAACTCCAATCTCTAAACACAAGGAAATCCAGCGGGGCTTAAAGCAGACTGTGAGTCCCGTTTAGGATGCCTTTTTAGAATGCCGCGTTTGATTTTATATTCAAATTGAAAACTCAAGTTGAACTCATGTCTAGGCATGAGACTCATTTAATCAATTTCAGAAAAATAGGACTTTCATTTGAATTTCTCTTGTACACAACAATCACCCCTGTTGGTCTCTAATGAACTATCTATTCACAGCGTACATGTTTAGCTCCAGGGGCACAGAAGATCACACTAACACAGGAGACTGCTCCCCATTAGTTCTCAGTAAAAGAGAGACTCTTGAATAGTAGCTCAAGTCCATATGCAGTAAATACTTTTCTGAATAAAGAACAGGATCCCCAGTAGTGGCTTACCCCTTTTCTATCCATTTTATATATCTACAAGCCAGAGATGAATGCTCCTGGACAAAAGACGGGATACTGGACCTTAGGAAGCATCCTGGGAGGGAGCTGGGGGCTCTTGGCTCTCAGGCTCCGGAGGGGGCGCAGGCACGGCTTCTTTTTTCTTGGCTGCCAGGAACTCGTGAATTGCTCTTTCTATCTGTGGTCTGAAGATGTGGTTTAGTTTGGGATCCACCACTTGAGAAATGATTCTGTCCACTCCAGCTTCCAACATCCCTGACCTTGTGGAGACAAAGAGACCACTCTTTGAAGGTCCGTGCACCCTCCCCCCAGCGACCTGTTTGCACCATGCATACCTGCAGTACAACGTCAAAACTGGAAAAACGACACCAGTACGATCCAACCTTCCTTAGTTTCACACGTGGCTACACACCATTGTGTGTTTGCACAAGCAGCTCTGTGCCATTTCAGCACAGGAGTGACTTCAGGTGACCACCCCCACGATGAAGAGCTCTCCTCGGCCACCACAGCATCCCCTCGTGCGACCCGTTTCAGGTCACACTCACCCCCACCACCTCCTGCCCCTAAGCCCTAGGCAACCCCTGATCTTGTCTCCAGCGCTGTCATTGTTCACCAGTGTGACATATATGGAATCAGCACCACACATCTTTTTTTGATACTGGCTTTTTTCACTCAGCATAATTTCCTAATATTTCTATTTCTAAAGAGGTAGGCTTCACAAGCTTTTAGACATCCTAGGAGAGCTCAGTGGATCAAGACCTGAACTTGAGTGCTAGTAATAAGACCAAAAAAAGGACTGCGAGCAGATTAGAAAAAGCCAGATGCCATGACCGACCTCCGCTGTTGGGCCCAGTAACACTAAGAAGTCACCTGGATGAGCCAGCAGTAGCACCTTGTTAACTAAGGTTCAGTTTGTGACCAACAGACATGCTTTAATAAGACTCCAGGTCTTCCTGAAAGCTGCCCTTACACTTTAGACTTCTCACCCAAGATCCAAACACTGCTCTCTTGGTAGAAAACGCCCAGGTATGTGCCAACTACACTGAAAACTTCAAGCAAGGAGGGAATCCTGTTTCGTAATTTGGAGTATCTTTCGAGGCACCTGGTCGAGTTTACACAGGAGACCTACGGAGGCTGGATAAACTAACAAGAATGTCAGTTGAGTCCTTTGATTACTTGAACCTTAACTTTAATAAAGGGGTGCACTGCTGTGATGTGTGCGTGTGATTTTCTGTAAAGTACCATCCACCTGGACCAATTAATAACACCTATCAGCTTTTCTGTGCCTCGTGCGGTGAGTACTTTTCACTCTTAATTCTAATTACTTACTGAACCACACTTTGCCTCAGACCATTTCGCAACTGGTTTTTGTTCATTGTAGGATTCCATTCCTGCTTGTCCAGATGTGTTGACACAAAATTATCCACTTTCTGCCTCAGGTTCTGGTAAGCTGGCTGAAACATTTAAAAAAAAAGAGGTAAGGTAATAAGTTATATGCACCAAAATTTTATAAGTCAGTCATTCAAGGATACGGCTTTCCACAGAAATGTAGATGTCTCAAGCCCTTAAAGACACTTCTATCATGACGACGAAGATGGCCCTGAGGCCCAGAAGAGCAAGAATTAACAAGCAGCAAAGGGCTAACATTACAGCAGGCAGGCACAAGGCCAGCAGATGCCTTATCATCCCATTTAATTTCCAAGTAACAGTACAGGGAGGTTCTATTAACTCTCCTACCCCCACTGTAGAGATTAGAAATTATGCTTAGAAAAGGGAAACAACTTGCCCACATGGCCAAAATGTGGTAAATCAAGGTTAGGATTAATCTATTTCTGAATCAGAGGAACTGGGCTCTAGCCCGGCACCATGACTAACTGGCTGTCTGCCTTTCAACAAGTCACCAACCTTTCAGTCTCAGTTATTTCCATTGGTAAACCTGAAATGTTACCATCCCACCTACCTCGCAGGGTATCCTAAGCAATAAATAAGGGCTCAGGAAAGCCCACCGCATAAAATGAAGGGCTACCCGAATGTCAGCATGTGAGATGGCTACCCAATGTGAGAATGGAGACTGAGGTCAATGCCTATGGAACAATTGGAAAGGCTGAGGGGAAGCACAGCTTGATGGCCAAAAATGGAGCTTGAGGCTCTTATTGGCTTAAAGTTGGTTTTAGACCCAACTATGATCAGGACAAAATTAGAAGGAACTTGGTGAACACATGGAATTTGTATTCTTAGCCTCTAAGACCTTCTAGTATGATCAGCGGCTCTTCTTCAAACCAGGTATAATAGTGTGCATTGCTGCTAGGCATCACCCCTGCCCCCCTCTGCCTGGGCAGAGACTGCTTCTCTACCCCAATGACGTTGAGTTTCAGCAATGCAACATGTCTGGTCAATGGGGTGCTAGTGACAAGAAGCCTTAAATGCGGTCATCCTCTGTCTGGCTTGGTTCTTGTGCTCTGGTGACCCTCTATGAGGGCATGTCTGGGACCTAAGATGAGTTTGTATGCAGCCAAGCTAACCCCAAGCCCAGGCCACCTGAACCATCCAGCGGAAGCCCACTTAGATGAGCTCAACTTTAGCTGACCTGCAGCCCTATCAGCATGAAGATGAATGCTTATCATAAGTCACCATGATTTGCTTCATCGTGCAGTGTTAACTGTGGCAAAAGTTTGCTAGCAGTGAGAGGTAAAAACTGACAACGATATCAGCAGGCTTCAACTCTACAGGTGGACTCTTGCAAAACGCCTAGAGAACTGACTGACAAACACCCATGTACTATCTACCTAGCAACTCCTCCTTCCTCTCCTCACAAGGGTAGGACAGAGAGTGCCATGTTCTCCTGACCACAAATGGGGTGCCTGACCAACGCTAAGACAATGCTGATGTTCCCTGGGATTTTCAGAACAGGAATTGAGAGTCCCTTTCTAGAGGAAGAAGAGGTAAGATGTAATCACAGTAGGAGTAACCGAATGGATGACGCCGCTCTGCGGTGACAAGACAATAGTTATTATGAAGAGCAGAGATGAAAGACACCTTGTGGAGCATCCCTGGTTCCAAATGCATCGCTACTCTTCTGACAGCCTGTTCAATCAGTCCTTTCTTGGGGTGCCCAATCAACAGATTCACCCCTTTGCTTAAAGAAACTGGAATTAATTTGTCACTCAGAACTATGCATCCTGATAGTAGATTTTCTACTATTCCAAATAAGTCACCTGGTTTGAAATGATAGTTACTGTTTACTGAAAAATGACAAAGGACAGCAAAGGTCACCACCAAACCTGAACAGATCTTGACAACACAGAATAATCCCTTCAGTTCTTCAAGTGAAAGGACAGAATGGGCCTGCCATGAACATTTTATTGCATTATCTATCCCTCACTTGATTCACTTATCAGTTTGTTCTATTTATTTGTATTTTGGGGGCAATGCAAATTAAACTACAACATCATCAGTACACTTTCCTCAAAATATTTCAGCAGTCTGGGAAGGGGCCCAAGAATATACATTTCTAACAAGTTCTCAGGTGATCTTGATGCTGCAGATCCAAGAGCCACACTGAGAACCACGGAGCTAAAGCCACAGTGACTGAAAACACGCGGTTTCCAGAATTAAAACCACCCAGTGACTAATGGAAGGAATATTTAAGATGTTATGTGGGGAAGGCTCCAACTCTTCTTCCCCCAACAGCTTTACAATACTACTTTTCTTTCTTTCTTTTAAAAATAACATGCACGGGGGCGCCTGAGTGGCTCAGTGGGTTAAATCCTCTGCCTTTGGCTCAGGTCATGATTCCTGGGTCCTGGGATCAAGCCCTGCATCGGGCTCTCTGCTCAGCGGTAGCCTGCTTCCCCCCCCCCCTCTCTGCCTCCTTGTGATCTCTGTCTGTCAAATAAAAAAAATAGAATCTTAAAAAATAATAATAATAACATGCATGAGGTGCCTGGGTGGCTCAGTCGTTAAGCGCCTGCCTTCAGCTCAGGTCATGATCCTAGGGTCCCGGGATAGAGCCTTGCATCAGGCTCCCTGCTCAGCGGGAAGCCTGCTTCTCCCTCTCCCACTCCCCCTGCTTATGTTCCTTCTCTCCCTGTCTCTCTCTCTGTCAATTAAATAAAATCTCTTAAAAAAATAAATAAAAATAAAAATAACATGCATACTACATTGACTTAGACACATAAAACAGAAAATGATAGAAGAACTTGTGATGGAAGTTGAGACCATCCAGAGTCCTAGGAAAGGTGGAAGCTCAGCTGATACGTATCTGAGACCTTTAAATAAGGAAAATTAAACATTAAATATTAAGCACTTCTAACACCATGTAGTGTATATACCATTTGGCCTACATGTCAGTTTTCTACCCTACAGTTCAAACTTTGAGGACTGGTAGTGACTTACTTGTTCCTGTATCCACACAGCCCCCATGCTGTAGGCCAATAAATGTTCAGTGAATAAATGGATGATGTCTTTCCCTATCTTTGAATTGTAATTTTAAGTTCACAATCTTTATGTTAGGTAGGAAGATTTTCTTGAAGACGAGAACTTACTTCCGTAAAGGGGCTTAGTCAGTAACAGAACCCCCTTAACCTGCAACCCGTCTTGTTAGAAAAGCTTCTGAAAAGGGAGAAAATGGAACATTCCAGCAACTACTGTAGGTCTGACACTTAACACACCTGACTTCATTGAATCTCCATGACTTTGGCAAGTAACCTGAAATAGCATTTTACTAGGGGGTTAACCTATGGCATTAGAATCTAAAATTGGCACCAAACCCCCTTTAATCCACGGTGGAGTACAAGATAGGGGTTCTGCACAGCGTACCTTAATTCAACTGGATGTTCACGCCTGCAAATTACTGAGCTAAAGAAAGGGAAGGAACAAATAGCTACAACGTTCTGATGACTGTATTCAAACCATTCTCCCTTCCTTACCTGGCTTTCTCCAATGTTCTTAACTCCCAGAGGTTTGTTACTGAAGGGCTTAAAGAAGTCTCAGCTTGGGAAAGAGAAGAGCTAGGCTCAAACCAGTAATGAGTCCCCAAGTTCAGAGAAACGACTGGACCGACACACAGCTAACAGTGATGGGAGCCCCGCCCACGTGTCCACCACTCAGAAAGCTTCCTGTAGTGCCTCAAGCGGTCTAACACCTCACTGCTGAGATTTTTGAAAGTATCTTTTGTTTTCCTTTCTGCTTTAGAAGAGCCGGCCTGCAACACTGCTGTCCTCACGCCCAGCCCAACACGTCGCCACCCCCTTCCTCCCAATACCTTGGTGTCCACGTCCGCCAGGCAGTCCCGGCGGAAGCTGTCAAACAAGCCCCGGCTCTTGAGCTGCTCCACGATGAGAGCGATGAGCTGTGGGTCTCCGGGAGGCAGTGAGGCCGGGTTGATGGGGCCGCCGCTCCCACCGGCCCCTGTCGCGCCTGTCGCCGACCCCGCCGAGGCCTGGCCCGCTCCGCCGCTGCCCACCGAGCCCGTGCCCCCGCCGCCGCCGCCGTCCGCCATGGCTGTGCCCTGGGCCCACAAAGGAAACTGAACACGACTACTCAGGGACAGAGGGTCTGGGTCATATAGAGGTGGAAGAAGCGCCCAAGAAGGAGGTGTTGATGGGAGAGGTGGAGGAGGAGAGGGAGAAGGCGGCGGCGGCGGAGGAGGAGGTCGGCTCTGATGCAGCGGAGGTAGTGGTAGGAGCGGTAGAAACGGCCCGCTCCATCCCGGGCGCTGTGCAGATGACGTCACAAACGGCCTTTGCATTGTGGGGTGGGAAGTTTTTGGCAGTCAGCTCCGCCTTTTTTTATAGGTGGCGTTTTGGCAGTGGAAACTACAACTCCGGGAAGGCTCCGGCCCTCTAGGCGCCAGTTTGTGGGGCAGTGTGGGAATTGTAGGCTCAGGCGCTCATGACTGCCAGAACCTGCGCAGGCGTTCCTCATCCAGTCACTGCCTTGCTCGCTTGGAATCAGCAGGTCTTAGCCAGTGTCCGATTATGAGAACCATCTGTGGGACTGAGTAAAAGTGCAGAGTAACAGGTTTGTCCCTGAGATGTTCGGATTCAGTATTTCTCCGTTGGGGCCAAGGAGTCTGCTTTTAACGTACACACCCACGCCCTCCTTGAACAATAGGAGCCCGGGAAATTTGGGCAACAGTGGACCAATCAAATTTATATTATGTCAAAATGTGTAGGTACTTTTTCCTCCTTCAAATTTAGTAGCAGTGCATACTTGTTTTTTTAAAAATTGGAAAATAGGGGCGCCTGGGTGACTCGGTAGGTTAAGCCTCTGCCTTCAGCTCAGGTCATGATCTAGGGGTTCTGGAATCAAGCCCTGCATAGGCTCTCTGCTTGGCGGGGAGCCTGCTTCCCCCTCTCTCTCGGCCTGCCTCTCTGCCTACTTGTGATCTCTCTCTCTGTCAAATAAATAAATAAAATCTTTAAAAAAAAATTGGAAAATAACAGAACATTATGACGAAGAAGATAAAAGTTTTCCTGAATTTCTTAAGTGTGTGGATTTGGTCCCAGATAATAGACACTGTCAATAATAATGGTGATAATAATAAGAAACTAATATCGCGTAATTGGAATGTACCAGGGATGATGCTAAGCCCTTTACACCCAGTGCTTGACAAGAAACTAAAAAGCAGATACTGTTCTTGCTGTTTTACAGATGCAAAAATGGAGACAAAGTTTGTTGCTCTGGTCACATAGCTAGAGGCTGAAGAGGAGGCTTTGAACCCAGGTTTTCTGAATACAAATCTTGCAGCTTTTAACCCAAGCTATGCTACCTCCTGAGATCTAGAGGGCATCACACACTAGATAAGGCTTTTTATCCCAATTTGTTTTTAGCCTTGGTTCACCACGGGAACCCCATGGAGGTCACCACTCTCCTCTCCTCCTTTCAGCCTTTTGCCTATTATTGGCTCAACTCCTGCCCACCTAGAGCAATTAGGTCAGCTTTTGTTATTTCCTCATCTTTTATAAACAGTGCAGGGGATGTAAATAATAAATCCTGCAACACCATTGGTTACTGGGCAGAGGCAGAATAGACAGGTCTGGGATGCTCTCCGCGTTAACATTTCCTACTCAAGAGAGTTTAAATTAATCTTCAAACTAAATATTCAGGTGTTAGCTTTTTTTAAAATTTTATTTATTTATTTGATAGACAGAGATCACAAGTAGGCAGAGAGGCAGGCAGGGGGTGGGGGAGGAAGCAGGCACCCTGCTGAGCAGAGAGCCTAATGCAGGGCTTGATCCCAGGACCCTGAGACCATGACCTGAGCTGAAGGCAGAGGCTTAACCCACTGAACCACCCAGGTGCCCCCAGGTGTTAGTTTATACTCATCCTTTAACATCCACCTCAGTCTTTCTCAATGACAAATGTTACTGTTAATGACATTCTCTTAATAACTCACCATCCTTGAATTGACCCAATGCCTATTCTGACTGACTTCACACTTAACTACCTTTTGCCCCAGGAGAAGGCCAATTCAGGCTGCTTGTGCCCCAGGTTTGTTCTCTTCCAAGCTCTCTGATCACTTTTCCCAGCCTTTTCTCCGTTTTGGCACGGTACGCCTTTCTTTCCTCTTCTGACCCTCAGAACCTATCTGCCTTTGGTGTCACAGATGTAGACTTTCAGAGCAGACTCTCTTGTAGCGGTTATTATAATCAAAAGTAAATAATTAATAGACTCCTTAGCCACTTGTTGCCCCTACTAGCATGTAAGCTTTAGAGCTGGGACCACGCCTTGTTGTTCATCACTGTGTCCCCCGCCTGAAGCACAAAACCTAGTTCAAAGTGAATGTGTAAGTTCCTGTCTGTTTCTGGTATGTTTAGGATAGGGTCAGAGTGTGTGTGTGTGGAGGGTGGGTATCACCTAAGCCACAAGGTCCAGAAAAGTGAGAGTCATTATAGCAGGAAATACCGGATTAGTTTATTTCTCATGGGAAAGTGATCCTGGAGATTGGCAATAGGTGGTTCACCCTTCGGCAATCTCAGTGTGGGGACCCTTGTGTCCCAGGTGGCGGAATTCTGAACTGTGGGAAGATGTGCACCATATATCTGTGACATTGCCTCTGGAATTGATATAAATGGTGTGGGGTGGGGGTTTGGGCAGTCAAGGTGATCAAGCCTAAGGAAGGCTTATTATTCATCTAAATAGGAAGCCACCACTTATATCAGGACGCTCTCATCTCCAGTCAAGGAGTGTGTAATACACAGTGCTCTAGGGGGCACCATTGCTCTGTTGATAATCCAGGACCGTTAGCAAAATCTACGGAGATGATTGCTTTAACTTTGGCCCAGGTAGTCTCATTTTCAGGTATTCTTCAGGTGAAAATAATTGTTGAGTCTCAGTTTTAAAATTGGTCTCTAACAAGTTTCCCAATCCCAATCCCAGTGACTTGGACATACTAGGTTCTGGACTATTTTATATCAAAGATTGCATAAAAGAGTGGAAGCCCTGTTAAGCCCAAGTCCAAGTCTCAAAGGAGAAAGGGCAGGAGCTGGAAAGAGTTGAGATCTATAAGTTGCCAAGGGAGATATGAAAAAAGCAGCCGAGTGCATGCAGGGCTTTTTGCATCAGGTGGTACAGGATTGGAATTCCAGCTGTCACTTTGGGACAGTGTGGCTTTGGGAAAGCTGAATCACGTCTCCAACCTTCTACTCCTCAGGACCTTGGAGAGGATTAAGCGCCATTGTGGCGATCCATTTAGTGTAATTCCTGGTCCTCAGCAAATGTTTAATAACATTTCAGTTGCAGATTTACCCCCGGGTTGGGGCATTATTTAATTTAACTCTGTCTCTTCCACTGACCTCTAAATTCCCTGAATGTAAGAGTGCCTGGTATATACAGGCTCTTGGAAAATGTATGATGGAGGAAAAAAAAAAAAAAGAATGAATGAGAAATTTGCTTTTCTAAGTATAGGATAAGGCTGTTTAATATTTTTGATACTGCCTTCAAGCAAATGTCAGAATATAGCCAATATTCAGAGGAGTCAGGTACAGTCCAGTAAACTGTCCGCATTATGTGTCTAAATGGTCCGTGATTTATGACCACATGGACTAGGAGACTGGGCCAGGAAGCAGACCCCAAGGTTAGAAGTCAATCTGTGGGTTGCCTTGGTAACCTTCCAACCATGTAATCCAAGATCCTGGTCCTTAAGCAAGAGCATTCCAGAGCCCTAAGAACTGAATCCAAGGCTGCATTTAGATACCACAGCCACTTGGGGTAGACACATGGTTGATTCTTATTCATGTTCACGGTGCAGCCCTTTTTCTTCTCGCTTCCGTGTCGCCGTCCAGAGAGCTCTGCCAGTTCTTAGTCTGGACAGCTGTTCGTTTCCTAATTAACAGTATCCAGAGTTTCTCAAGATTGCCTGTCTGTAGCGTGTTGGCTCCATCTATACCATGTGATCTCTGCTGCTTCATTTTGTTTGTTTCTTTCTAATATTTTCCAGCATATCTAATGACAAAATGGATCCAAGTATACACTGAAAACCAGGGCTTTAATAAGCAGGAGTCCAAGCCCCAATCAGTACGATCACCGTCTTTCCTACTGGACATGCATCTCAGGTAACATTTCAGGCTCCGGTGTTTTTAACACATTGTCATTTTTCAGGCTCCGGTGTTTTTAACACATTGTCATTTTTCAGGCTCCGGTGTTTTTAACACATTGTCATTTTGAATGATTTTTACTAAAGGATTTCTGGTGAAAGAGGCAACCTCAGATCATATTGAGAAAGGAGTGGGAAGTTTGGAGTCTGGGCTGGGTTTGGACACAGCACCTCTGCTTCTTGGCTGTGTGCCTTGGAGTCATCCATGAACCCATTGGAGCCTCGGTTTGCTCATCTGTAAAATGGAGATGATATTAACACCTACCTTCTGTTGTCCTGAAAATCAGCCATCATATATATGCAGAACCTGGTGCATAGTAGACCCTTAATAGCTAACGATATGGTCTTGGTACAACACCCTGGTGTACTCGGTTATAGTCTATGAGTGGGACAGAGATCTTGATTAATAGGTATCCAGAATTAACGTACATGTTACTTTAGGAGTTTTAATCTTGTGATGACCTAGGAAACCACTCAGCTGACCTCTAAACTGGTGAGCTCAGTAAAGCAAAGCTCCCAGTCAAGCCCACCATGCTATTGCTGCTAGGGTCTGGACCCGTAGTCTGCCTCTGTCATCATACTTCTCATGACATCTCTCATTCTCCTGTGATGCTCCCGATCTACTACATATTTATTTCTAGTTGCTAATCCAATATCCGTTCTACTTCTTTACTAACAGAACCTAGTTTTGTTTGAAGCTGCAGCAAGCCCTGTTAAAACATCCTTCCCTAGATTCCCCTGTTGCTATGGTCACCTATGGGGGGTGACCATAGGTCCTGCTTCTGATCAGAGAGGTATCCGTGGAGGCCCCTGGGAAAGCCTGGCCTTGCTGATAGAGGCACCCCCCCTTCCTCCTCTAGCATGAAGGCACATGAAACAAGACCCTAAGCGTCAGCTGGGGCCATGTAACTTGTTCTAGTCAGTGACTTGTGAGCAGAAGTGACTTGTGATATTTCTGGGCCAGAACATTTAAATACCAACATGAGACCCTCCAAGAACTCTCTTTCCATCTGCCTGTGATAACTGGCATGGTTTCAGATAGCAACTGATCTGTCATCCTGGGCCCCAAAGTGAGGAGACGTGGAGCAGAGGCCCCACTGGCTCCTAGTAGACCTGTAGCAGGAGTGAGAAACTGGTTGGAAGCCACTGAGCTTTTGGAATTGTTTGTTAGTG